ACTGCCGGGAAAAACCGATGGGATTCCGGGGGGAAACGGGATGGGCAAAAACAGGGATGGAAATGGAGGGAAATGCTTGAGGGAATGGGGAAGCTCCATCCTGAATTCCCTGTGCTGGAATTCCGGGGGAAAATGGGATGGGCCCGCTGGGAATGGCCCCAAGGGGGCAAAAACAGGGATAAAAATGGAGGGAAATGTTGAAGGGAATGAGGAAACTCCATCCTGAATTCCCTGGGCTGGAATTCCAGATGGGCCTGCTGGGAACGGCCCCAAAGGGGCAAAAAGAGGGATAAAAATGGAGGGAAATGTTTGAGGGAATGGGGAAGCTCCATCCTGAATTCCCTGTGCTGGAATTCCATGGAAAATGGGATGATCTCAAAAAGAAAGGGATCAAAATGGAGGGAAATGTCCGAGGGAATGGAGGAATTCTGAATCATCCCATCCTGAATTCCCTGTGCTGGAATTCCTGGGGAAAAATGGGATGGGCCCGCTGGGAACGGCCCCAAAGGAGCAAAAAAAGGGATTAAAATGGAGGGAAATGTCTGAGGGAATGGAGGAACTCCATCCCGAATTCCCTGTGGGTTAAAGAGCTGGAATTCCATGGGAAACGGGATGATCACAAAAAAAAGGGATGAAAATGGAGGGAAAATTTTGAGGGAATAAGGGAACTCCAAGAGATCCCATCTTGAATTCCCTGTGCTGGAATCCCATACTAAATCCTGCTCCATCCTGCAGGGAATGGCCCCAAAGGGAGTTTGGGATCAGGGAAAAAAGGATAAAAATGGAGGGAAATGTTGAGGAAACTCCATCCTGAATTCCCTGTGAGAAAAAGAGCTGGAATTCCATGGAAAATCCCACTTCATCCTGCAGGGAAAGGCCCTGAGGGGGGACTTGGGAGGGCAAAAAAAGGGAAAATGGGAATTTTGGGGCAAAAATCTGGGAATAACAAAGTTGGGTAGTGCAGCACTTAAAAAAATCAGGGAATTAAATTGCTGTGGATAAATGGGAATTTTGGGGCAAAATCCTCCTTTTATCCAAGGTGGGAATAACAAAGTTGGGCAGTGCAGCATTTAAAAAATCAGGGAAGGAAATTAAATGGAAAAATGGGGGGAAAATGGGAATTTTGGGGCAAAATCTGGGAACAACAAAGTTGGGTAGTGCAGCATTTTAAAAAATCAGGGAATTAAACTGCTGTGGATAAATGGGAATTTTGGGGCAAAATCTGGGAATAACAAAGTTGGGTA